AGGAAAAATGGGGGGGTTTGGGGGGGGGGGGTTTGGGTGGTTGGGGGGGGTAAAATTTTGGTCTTTTGGGGGGGGGGGGGGGGGGGGGGGCACCGCAATGTGAATGAAACTGGTGGAAAAGTGAATCGGGGCTGGTGATTTGAGGCGACGCTCTGTGTAGCTTGCAGTCTCAGGCTTCCTCTCTCTCTCTCTCTCTCTCTCTCCCTCCCTCTCTCGCTCTCGATGTCTGTATGTCTCTCTCCCCGCCTCTCTCTCGTTCGTTCATTTCACGGGCAACCACGCCTTCTGTTGGCGTACACGTCGGGAATAGCACAACACAAGCACAGCAACGCACTGCACAAAGCGGCAGTAGCAGCAGCAGCAGCAGCCGACCAAACAACGCTGGTGTGGACAAGACCAATGCGCGGGCAACAACACCACCACCAGCAGCAGGCACGACCTGATTGAACACTAACCGACAGCTGCAGATGCCTCCCATAGTACCTTAGCGAACACGTTGTCGACGACATCCACGTGAATCCAGTCCGCCCCCGCCGCCATCACCCTTTCGACCTCTCCCGACAGGTCTGCCATATCCGCCGCAAGGATGGACGCGTTCACCAGCCCCACCACGGCCGCCGTCTCCCCTTCCGCCGCAGCCGCACCGCCCCCGCGGGACTCATCCACCCCCCCTGCTGCTGCCGTCGGCGGGGCCCCTGCTCCCTGACGGCACCACAAGAGGGAATGAATATTACAACAGAGGAGATCGTTGGGATATTTTGAGCGAGGTGAGAGACAAGAAAAGCAATTTGAAACGAACCAGAAAATCAACACAGAGGTGAAAGGCACCTACATTGGAAGCGCAACGTCCTCGTTGCCTCCCTTGACAACATGCGATTGCGAAAAATCAAAGCTCAAGAACAAGCGGCGCCTGGCCACTGCCACATACCCGCCATCGAAGAGCCGGGGCTTGAGGATGAGATGTCTACATCCATGCATCAAAAACAGGGTATCTACATGACGCACTATTTTGTTCCTTCCGACAGTAGAGGGTGCGAATACGCTTCTTTCTCCTTCGACAAGCAAGGGTACAGATACCCTTTCCCCTTCGACAATAGGGGGTACGGGTACGCCTACTCCTTCGACATGAAAAATAATACGCATGCCCTTCCCCTTCGAAAATAGAGGGCAACACAAACAATTTATCTTTCGACAATAGGGGGTACAGGTACGCTTTCCCCTTCGACATGAAAAAGGGCAACACATACGCTTTCTAGTTCGACGACAGAGGGTATACACACGCTTTCTCCTTCGACAAGACAAGAGGGTACACAAAGAACAGCGCGCCTCGCGCCGAACCTGGTCGCGGAAGAGGGGCTTGAGCGCGGGGTACACCGCACGATACCGCTCCAGCACCCGCTTGTACTCGGCGTGTGCCTCCGGGTTCGGCATCTTGTTATTCCCGCCGCCGTTCGGATCGTGCGCCGCCAAGGGCATCAATCCACACGCATACACAAGGGGAAGACGGGTTGCGGGGGTCATTTGGGGATGATAGGAGCTGGAACTGGTCGGCACGCACCACTGCGTGCTTCCGCGCTCCTTTCTGTGACAAGGGCGGGGGAAGTAAATAATGAACGGTAGGGGTGCCGCGGCTGGTCGGTCTCCCACCCGGAAATTCGATCCAGCAGTATCCAGATGGTCGTCCAAAAAAGGGGGGACGTGCTCCCACCGCCGACCCATCGACGTGCGCAGCAACTAGAGACTCCGGGGTTTGTTAAGCACGCAAGGAAGAGACGCGAGGCGTGGTTGTGCATATGGAAGCATGCGCCATCGCCCGTGTGTACATGCCACGTCGGTGGTCAAATTCTTCAATGCGAGAATAAGCGTGGAACGAACAAAGACCAAAACAACAAAAACACCCAAAATGTCTCCGAGCTGTGCGAGTTCTACAACGTCGCCCTTTGTTCTTCGTCCCGAACAGCACAATGGCCCGTTGACGAACCCTGTTCGGCGGCGTTCTTTCGACGGCGCAAAAAAAAAACAAAATAGCCACCAACTCACCACTGTTCCCTCAACGTGGACCATGGCACGGGCGGCGGAGGGGATGTCCGGAAACAGCCCCCCCCCAACGGCGGCGAGGATCGCTGAGCCCAGCACACACGCCTCCCTCTCCCTGGTAACCTTCATGGGGACGTTGCTCACGTCCGCGTGTGTCTGGGGCAACCGTTGCAAGAGAAAATTGTTGAACGGGTGTACTCATGTCATGCTGCAGTGGTTAGACCATTGTCCTTCCATCCCTACAATGCCGGGACGGAGCGATATGTATGCCGGTTTTTCGCCGATCCAGACTATCCCGTTGTCACATGTTGTCATATTCAGCGCCATTGGTATTTCCGTCGTGGGGTGTGGGAGGAGACTAAAGAACCTGGAACACTGACTGCGGGAGACAACCGCAAAAAGGCGGCACCATCACCATCATCATCAGCATCACCATGACACACATTCACGACGGCGGCGAGGGCAAATGCTAACGACGCCAACCCTAAACCTATCAGAAACAACAGCAACAACAACAGCAGCGACATCGACAGCAACAAGTGTACCAAGAGAAAACGATAGCAACGACGACGACAAGAACCACTACAACACCATCACCATCACCATCACCATCACCATCATCATCATCATCATCATCATCATCAGCAGCAGCATCAACATCATCAGCATCAGCATCAACATCATCAGCATCATCATCAGCATCAACATCATCAGCATCAGCATCAACATCATCAGCATCATCATCAGCATCAACATTATCAGCATTAGCAGCACCCGCACCAGCATGAGCACCAGCATCAACATCAGCAGCAGCAGCAGCAGCAGCAGCAGCAGCAGAAAATCTCAACAACACGCGCTTCCCCATCCCGCCCCTTGTACCTGAAGCCACAGACGGGAATTCGTCGCACCCCCCGCCACCGCCACGGAGGAAGGCGTGTACCCCGCCTTTCGCATCGCCTCGAACACCAGCTCGGTCCCGAGGCACACCGACTCGATCAACCCGCGGAATACGTGTCCTCTCCCTGAGAAAAATAAAGGACGGCGGTGGGGTCAAAAGGACGAAAGACACGCTCACACTTTTTCCGTTTTTAGCCACACTGAGACTGACGCCGTTTCATTGGTCAGTCGGTTGGCGCGGTCGATGCAAACAAACAAAAACAAAAAAGGTATACACAAACACAAACACGGGAACCGTAAAGAATCTCGCTCTCGAGCCCAAAACTTTATCGTGGAGAGAGGACACTGAGAACCCTAAGCTTCACGGCAACGGCGGTGGCCGGTGGTCCGGACAGGGTGGGGGGGGCTCGAGCCGTGTCCTGTCCACCGTGCCGCCGGCCCCGTCGCGACTGGAAAGGGCTAGCCAGGGTGTTCCTCGTGCAGAAGGTGAATGAAACCGCGGGTCATCTACCTCAGCTCACTCCCGCCCTATACACAGTGATCCTACTATGGACACCGCCGTGCCGAAAAAGCGGGAAAACATATGAACCCATCGGCGCGTGTTCCCCCATGCCTTGCTGTACATGGAAGCCGTCTAAACCACCGTCGTACCGTCTTCACGGAAGATTTATGCATACATTGCCTGCCTACTGCGTCCCGTCTGGAAAAAAAAAACGAACAAGATGAATTTCCCTATGCGGAAGGTGATCGGATGTCAACCTAATCAAGTTGTCTTGTCCTTGTCCTTCATCCTACGACGACGCCACATCAATCGGGCCAAACAGACGTGGTCTAGATGTGTTCCGTCCAACCTTTAAACAGAAAAAAAAAGAAAGAGAGACAACACGGCAACGAGAAAACGAAGCCATGTGTTCCATCCCAACCTTTCAAAAACCAAACAGAAAAAAAAAAGACAACACGCCACCGATAGCGAAGCCATGCAGCGCCAAAAGGTGCTACAAGTAGTACTGTACGCCCCCTCGGCGTACCGTGCTTGAGCGTCAGACCGGCGAGCGCTCCCCTCGAAAGCGGGTCAGTGTACGGGGTGCGGTTACCCTGGAAGTGATCCAAGCACACCTTGTTGGAAAACGACGAGGGGGGGGGGGGTCGTGACGAGAAAGCAAGGAGACGGCGTTACAACAGCGGCAAGAGCGTTGTACACGAACATGCTGCGGGGGGGGGGGGGGGGGGGGGGTTGGACCCCGGGCCGGGTTGGAAAGGGTTTGATTTAAAAAGGGGAAGGGGAAAACCCCCCGGGGGGAATTTGGGAAAATTGGGGGGTTGGCGGGGGGGCCAAAAAGGGGAAAAAAAC